ATGTACCTTGATAGAAAACATTAAACTGGTGCCAACGCCGCTGAGATTCAGATACCGCATAAAAATAAATCGCACAAAAAAAGTTGCACAAAAATAAAATCGCACAAAACAAATCGCGTAAAAATGGACCGTGCAAGAACAGGTTTTACTGTATAATCCGACACAGCTGCCAATATAGATACGAACGTCGATAATGTAGGGATTCAGAAGAATCTTACCGATGTCGATCAAATTTGTCGACGCGTTCCACTTCACTTTCAGCTTTCGTGGCATTGCGATTTGAATTTATGCAGGATCGTAATTAAATCTGAAAGTTAACCGTTCAATTTTCAAATTATTACATTGCCATTTCTTGGATAGAAACTTTTTGTAGAGATTCCATACTCTTGCATATGTGCCCATAATTATGAAAGTGGTCTAAGTCATATATTTCTTGTTTCGAGATATTTAATGAATTGCATTTGAATAAATTAAATAATATTTTTATATTATGCAACATTTTAATTTCGAGTTTTATTAGTCTTGATTAATGGAAATTTATTATGAATATGAAATTTTGGGTGAATTTCATAGGAAAATGTTTCTAAAGGGTGAACTGACTTAGACCATTTACAAAATTAACTGAATGTCCTATAAATGACTTAAAGCAATAAAAAAACGACGAGTTTTATTAGAAACGATAATTTTAATTAAATAATTCATGAACATTTATTGATTATTTTTAAAAAGTAATCCATTTTTATCATTTTAGGCTTTCATCATTATGAGTTTTAAAGATTTTTAAAATGTTCCTGAAAAATTGGAGATATGTAAACATAATATCTTTGTTTTTCTTCCGTTACTGGTCTAGTGGTGGGGTATAATGGAAGTAATTTAATATTTCCGTATATTTTTGGTCTTCCTCTTTTAGGCGAAAGATTCAAAACGTGGAATTTAGAATCATCTAATGAAGTATTATGTGGTCGTATAATATCTGCGAATCACATCATATCCGAATAGTAATTAACATATTCACATAATATGTACGTTGTCATTAACTTACCTGAACCGCTATCCGTGGACATAGTGGTAAAATATATAAATTATTTTTCCGCCAATAATTAGATCGGAAGAGCCCAACTGAATTAATGCACTTTCAAAATAGAACTAAATGAATTGCATGTATTGTTAGGTAGACCGGAAAGTATCGTCGTTTCTGTTACCGTTTGATTGTCATTTGTCGGCTTATCGTGTAGTTCAAAAACACGCCAAAGAGGGCCACGTGCCATTTTAAGGTTGTGTTTATATAATTTCTTTAAATTTTTGACTTAGACCACTTTCATAATTAACACTAAATGAATTCCATATAATGTTTAAATTACAACCACTCTCTAATGGTTCATTTTTGACAATATCGTAAAAATGACATTGAATTAATTAAGCTTCAGATAATGTGGGGTGAAATACCTGATTAACTCATTTATTTTTAATTTGGACTTAGACCACTTTCATAATTATGGGCTCATATATTTGCAAAGGATGACATTTTTAATTGGCGTATGTTTGCTGTATAAAAAAGTTCTGCATTGAACATGCGCCTCAGTTACCTAACATCATGTACCTCAGTTAAGCTAGCACAATCACATTCAAAATTGCCATTTTTGTATAGTGTTTAGTGCATAGTTTACGCTAATTTGGTATTAATTTGGTGCCACAATTGCGAATTTGGTGTTCACCCTTAAAGGGCCCTAGTAGCATAGAATATTTTCTAAATATTTTTTGTAATCTTTGCTAAATATTTCGAGCGGTAGATTTTTTAAGATTTCCTATAGACTTCATTTGAAGATATCAATGCGTTTCCAATTTTTTAGAAATCTGGATCTCTGCATATATTTTATCTGCTGTAATAGATTCCGGTTCTTCTTGTCCATTTTCATAATCTATGAAATTATTGATAATGTCACTATCATTGATAGTTATAATAAAAATACTAGTTAACTCTTATATGAGCAACGTAATCATATTGTTATTGTTTATTTGCCATTAGTGCAAACCATTTGATTCATAAAAAATATTACTTTGTTCTCTGAAATATAAAATAAGATTTAATATATAAAATGATAAACTGTATTCTTAAAATATGATGTAAAGTATATTTTAACACCAAAGTATTATTATTAGAAATTAAAAGTGTCTTCAGGTTTCATCGACAGTAATTTTCTGTGTAGCACATAATCTTGACTTTGCAGTAGCTGAGTACAAAGCCACCGATCATTTTATTTCGGCATTCGTAGTTGAAGTATGCTTGCACCGCACGTAGCTGAAAAAGTATGTAAAATATAAAATGCGTCATTCAATATTCAATTCTTTACCTCCCCTTTTATTTTTTCCTTTTAGAATAAATTTAGTACCTGCAATTGCGGTAAGAAGTTTGGTGCTGCAAAATGGCACCTTTTTTTTTCCTCGACCAGAATATTGCAAGCATAACATTTTATCTAATAATTTCCCCATCGTCGCATAGATCATTTTATGTGGAGTATCGCAACCTACCGAATATAACATACGTACCTAAATAACAACACGAAACTGTTAGTTTACCGGAAATTAGAGTAATTAATCAACTGTTATATTAAATGAACATAAAGTGTTCAGTTTAAATGAAGTTCACAAAATTAGTATCTTAAGTAACGATTATATTACAAGTTTCTTCATATGTGCATTTTCCTCGATAATATTATCCCCTAAAAACACATCTTCGGTGTACAAAAATTTAGTCAAATACATTTATCTTTATTCAATGAATAGCAAAAATAGGTCAAATTGCTCCCCTCCCATGAAAAGCTCAAATCAATTATTTTTATCAAATATAGCTGAACAGTCATTCCATTAAAATCCCAGCTAAAATCTTTTTGCCAAATGTCACAGTACACTTGGTTTCACGTATGCTGCATGTTTAAGATTTTCTGCTTTCTCAAACCGAAGACAAACATTAAAAATTATATCGAAACGAATAAACAAATTAAACTAAATTTGAAAACAATATTGTATTTCGCGAGCAACAAAATGATCATATGCTAGGAGTATATCCTGGGTGCTCGCCAAATAAAATATGGTTTTCAAATTTAAGTTTTTTATTCGTTGCGATATAGTTTTTAATATTTGTCTTCGGTTTCAGGAAGCAGAAAATCTTATACATGCAGCATACGTGAAACTAAATGTACTGTGACATTTGGCAAAACGATTTTAGCTGGGATTTTAATGGAATGAATGTTCATGTCGGCAATGTTCATATGATCGCGAACGCCAACTGATTTAACAAGGACAATAATTTATTTAGAATCGAAATTGATAACAGCAGATCACAACCTGACATATACTATACAACGAGAACAGTACAATCCTTTTTATTTTAAGCAAGTATTGAGCAAGATCGGAATACGCGGTAGAGTGGTGGGAACGTGTATCGATTCTCGCGGGAGATGTTCGTCAGTTGATGCGTGAGAGGAATCTGACTTTCTCGATGGAAAAATGGTATCGAGGAGCTTCAGGATGCTGTCCTCGAGAGCGGAGTTTTTGGAGAAGCACCGCTGATAGGTTTTAGTGCCAGGGGTTTTTAAAAATCCGTGTCGGATTGTGCTATGAACGGCGATAGCGTTGCGAATTGACGATCGGGACCAAACATCGCGACACAGTTCACCACAGCACGCGAAAAGTGCGATCGCGTTGCGTAGCACTAAAACGGTTAAGGATATGGAGTTGTACTTTATAATTTAAGGTGATTGGCGTTAGGACCTTTGGGAAAGGGAAAAAAAAGCGCATTTTGAGAGTTGTAGGTTGGGAAAGCAAAAATGGGCTACAGGACGAAGAGTTCTAGGAAAGGGACAATTCAAGGGCTAAAGGACCGCGGTGACAGAAGTACTCGATGGTACGAGTCGATGTTTTGGAATTTAGGATTTAACTTACGAGCTCAAGAGCTAGATTACGTGACAAGAAGAAAGTGAAGAGAGTTACGGGATAATGCGAGACATGTGCGGGGTTGACAGAAAGCAGATGCGGACTCGGAAGAGAGGAACACCCAGATCGCTGGGAACGAGTACCCTGCCCCGGATGTTCGAGAGTCGCCTCTTACCCTTACCGGACGGTCAGGCGCCAGGGTGTTCGAAGGTTCGTCTGGACCGCTCTAGTGTCTTTGTGACTCGAGTTGGTTTTATCAATAGCTAATTTTTCACCTATTGATCTGAACATACCGCCCGCCTCGTCCGGACGGACGAAATAAATCCTATATAAGGACATGCTAATGTTAGTTTATGCTTAAATTCAACAAAGGAGCCATGGTGGCGTTGTTTAAGTTCGCAACTGAATTAAAATATAGACGCGTTTAAATGCTAAGCTAACTGTCGTGATTATTGACGAGATTACCGCCCGTCGTGTACGATGGCACGGCGCGAGAAGTAAAGAAACTACCGAATTTAAGTTGCAAATACCTTAAACTATGGCGGGCAAAAATTTTAAGGTATCAAGAAAGAGTACGTGATGAGTAAGATGGCTTAAGGAGATAGGAGGAGCTTAGACTTGATTAACTTATAGACATGCCGTCCGCCGTGCTAGCATGCCTAGGGCGTAAGAAACTTAAAAATTGGAGTTCGATGAATCCATGGCGCCGCATGGATCGGGTTTCAAGGGCAATGGACAGACCTTGGAAATTGGCCTGCGTAGTCGTAGGTCGGCGTGCGTAGCGTTACCACTCGCACGAGCCCATCGGCTCCAGGATGCGTGGCGGTGATCCGAGTGAGAGCCCACCGGGTGGGTGGAAATCGCTCGTCCTTGATGAGGACCAGAGTTCCAACCGGAAGGTTGGCGGTAGTGGAGGCCCACTTCGTTCTTTGCTGCAGGTGATGCAGGTACTCGGAACTCCATCGTTGCCAGAAGTGCTCACAAATTTGTTGTGTGAGCTGCCAGCGGGAGAGGCGGCTTGCCGGACAGTCGGTGATTCCTGGCTCGGGAACCGTTGTAAGCGATGCTCAGATCAGGAAATGTCCAGGAGTCAAGGCGGTGAGGTCGTCAGGGTCGTTGCTCAGGGGCGATAAAAGCCTGGAATTTAGACAAGCTTCGACTTCAGCGAGGATCGTCATCATTTCCTCGCAGGTGAGGATGCGGGCACCGATGACTCGGTTAAGATAGAATTTAGTCGATTTGACTCCGGCCTCCCAAAGTCCTCTAAAGTGTGGAGAAGCAGGAGGAATGAAGGGCCATCTAGTTCCTTCGTTGGCGAGGCCTGTTGCGAGTTTCGTCCAGTAAGCACTCGATTGTTTAAACAGGGCCCGGAGCTCGGCGTCAGCTCCCTTGAAGTTGGTTCCGTTATCGCTGAGCATTTCGGAGTAGATACCTCGGCGTGCTGTGAATCGTTTAACGGCCACTAGAAATGATTGAGTGGTGTAATCACTCACCACTTCTAGGTGCACTGCCTTGGTGACGAGGCAGACGAACAAGGCGATGTAACCCTTGTGAGATTTTTGGCCTCGGCCCTTGGTTACCTGAAGCTGGATTGGGCCAGCGTAATCGACACCTGTTCACAGGAAGGGTCGAGCAGGAACGACTCGAGACCTCGGCAGGTCCCCTAGAAGTTCAGCCGTCGGTTGTGCGCGCGCGCGAAAGCAGGTGATGCAGCGATGCACGTGGGCCTTAACTGCGCTTCGACCTCCGAGAATCCAGTACTTTATTAATAGATGGCTAAGAGTGAGCTGGATTCCTCCGTGTAGCGTGACGAGATGAGCTTCGGCGATAAATAACTGGGTCCAGGACGATTGTTTCGGAAGTATAGCTGGATGTCGTTCCTCGTAGGCGAGAGGAGCGTTTCGCAACCGCCTACTAACGCGGGAAATTTTGTCCTCGGCTTGGAACGGATGGAGTTTGCGCAGCGGACTGCGTCGTGGAAGCGGGCAGCTGCATTGTAGAGCTGCGATTTCATCCGGGTAGAGTCGTTGTTGCTCTCGTTTCGTCCAAAACGAGCGAGCAGCGGCCAACTCCACGGCTGACAAAGGTCCCGCCGTTCTTGATGAGGATGGCGATTTTAGATTGGCGACGAACCTGTGACAGTAAGCGATGATTCAGATAAGCTTTCGCATGTTTAAATACCTTTGCAGCAGTTCCCAGGAGTCGTCAGACGTAGAGAGTAGCGCGCGAATTGGTCGCTCCTCTTGCCCTGCTTCTTCGATGGAAATTGGAGCTACTTGAGGACAGCAACTGGATTGCTGACTGAGGCATCGAGATGCGTGCCACCAGAGCGAAATGTTCTTCAGCTCGATCGGAGTGAGGCCTCTCGAGGCACAGTCCGCTGGATTATCGCCTGACGAGACGTCTCCAGGAAATCTGCGGCGAATCACTTTGAATTTCGGACACGCGGTTTCCGATGAAACAAGTCCATCGCGACGGGTGCCCTTGCAGCCAAGCTAACACGACTTTGGAGTCGGTCCAGACGTAGACGGGAAGGTTCTCGCAGTCCGTAGATTGGAGAACGGACCGGATCAGGCGAGCGAGCAGAACTGCTCCGCAAAGCTCGAGCCTCGGGATGCTGAGCTGCTTTAGCGGTGCTACCTTAGATTTGGCTGTTAATAAGGTGACTCGGGTCCCGGCGGTGGTGCATGTTCGCAAGTACACGACAGCCGCGTACGCGTGCATCGAGGCGTCTGAGAATCCATAGATCTCACAGACGGTCGCGGATTGCTGTTTTCCGGTCCATCGTGGAATAGCGATGTCTTCAATGGCTGGCAGCTGCTGCGCGTACTGATTCCATTCAGCGATGTCATCCGGAAGATGTTGATCCCAATCAACCTGTGCTAGCCACAGCCTTTGAAGTAGAATCTTGGCCTTGATGATGACCGGTGCCAGCCACCCAAGTGGGTCGAAGAGTCGGGCAATAGCCGACAGGATCGTCCGCTTCGTAGGATTTTCATCGATCGGATTCTGATTGATCTGGAACTGGAAAACATCGTTAACGGGGTTCCATCCGATCCCAAGTGTCCGAATTTCTTGATCTGGCTGCAGCGAGCGAAGCGAGGTCTGCAATCTTTCTTCCTTAGCGACCTGGGCGAGAAGAGCTGGGTGATAGGACACCCATTTTCGGAGGTGAAATCCCCACGATTTCAAGATGGCGATCAGCTGCTGTTGAATCGCCTTTGCGAACTCGAGACTATCGGCTCCCGACAGCACGTTGTCCACGTAGAAATGGTTCAGCAGGGCGTCTGCGCCCTGCGGGAAGTTGGCTTGCTCATCGGAGGCCAGCTGATGCAGCACCCGTATGGTCAGGTAAGGCGCACAAGCTATACTGTAGGTGACGGTGAGAAGCCGATACGATGTCAGAAGATGTTGGGGGATTGATCGCCACACGATTCGCTGAAGATCGGTGTTTTCAGGATGGACACGAATCTGCCGATACATTTTCTCAATGTCGGCTGTGAAGGCAAATTGGTGATTTCTTCAGTTCATTATGATTGCTGGTAGGTCCTTTTGCAGCTTGGCGCCTGTAAGCAAGCAATTATTAAGCGAGCGGCCGGAGTTTGCCTTTTGGGAAGCATTGAAAACGACACGAAGTTTTGTCGTCAGGCTTGCGTCGCGTATGATAGTGTGATGTGGTAAATAATACGCGTTCGCAGCTTGGCTGGATTCGCGTGCAGGTCCTGACTCCATGTGTTTGAGAGTCAGGTATTCCTCCAGGAACTTGTATTCCGCAGCGATTTTTTGTGACCGATTAAGACGCCGCCCCGATGAGAGACACTGTCTCGTGGCGATGCCTTCCGACGAATGCAGATCTGGAAGCGGCGAGTTTTTAATTGGGAGTCTTACTATGTAGCGACCGCAGGTATCTCGTTGGTGAGTGCGTTGGAAGTGTCGCTCGCATTGCTCTTCATCCTCAGTTGGCATGCGAGCGTTCGAAACTTCCTCTATCTTCCAAAATCACCGAATTAAGTCGTTCGCGTTGGACTCACACAAGTGTGAGGAGACCCTAGCGGTGGTGTTCTCGGACGTTTCGTGAGAGGAAGAATCGGGACTTATGCGACCTGAGAGAATCCACCCTAAGTAGGTGTTCTGCGCGACGGAAGAGCCTGGCTGTCCGCGTCGGACTCCGTCCAGAAGTAACTCTCCGTAAGCATCGGCGCCGGTAATCAAGTCGACTCGCGTGGTCGAGGAATAGTGCGCGTTCGCGAGGGTTAAGTTTGCTAAATGTCCCCACGTCGCGGATTGGAAGTGCATAGGCGAGAATGCGCTGGTTAATTTAGGCAATATCAGAGCTTCCAAATTTAAGGAGAAGTCCGGCCGGCATGAGGACTGGAGGCTCACGCGAACTTGAGATCGGGCTATTCCGGCCGGAGCCGCGCCGAGTTGTACGATCGAGACATTAATTTGGACACGTGGTAGATTAAGAAATCCAGAGGAGGCTCGCAGAATTGCAATAGCGGTGACGAGGAGCATGCCTTTGCTTCCGACGCATTTTTCGGCTAAGTACGATTTAACCGACGTGGATGAATCGGAAGTTTCGGCTTTTCCAGACGAAGATTGTCCGGACTTTATGGGATCACTCGATGGGGTGGTATGCTCTCGAGCGTGGAAATGCAACATCGAGTGATGTTGCCGATTGCAGGTGGAGCATCGGCGCTCCGATTTGCAGGCCTTCAGATTGTGACTATTAGAAAGGCAATTTACGCAAAGATTTAACTGCGTGGCCAATTCGTGTCGCTGATGCGGCGATCGACTTCGAAAATCGGGCCACTGCCCAAGATAATAAGATCCTTGACAAAAAGCACAAAAACTAAATTTACTCGCGGCAGCGTGATGCATCTTTGCCGCGGAGCGCCGCGGTTTTACGTTACCAGGGCCACGATTTTGGAGCGGGGATGTGAGACATGGCGTCGACGATGACGATTCGAGTGCGCGGACGTTAACGTCCATGAATTGAACTAACTTGGCGAGGAGCGGAGGATCGGAGCTACTTCCAAGTGATTTTTCCCAGTCCTTGCGTAACTGGGAGTCAAACTCTTTCATCGTGAAATATGCACAGATGCACAGATCATTGTCCAACATTTCCCTTCGATTAAGATTGTCGACCGATCTTAATATTTTCATCGTGCTGTCGCGGATCTTCCTCAAATCGGAGGCACATTCGCGTTTCACGAGCGGCAACTTCACCAAGGCGTCGAGATGGTTGGACAATAAAACGCGCTTGTTCTCGTATCGGTCGCGAAGAGCATTCCAGGCACCGTCATACTCGTTTTCGGTCATGGGAATTCCTTGAAGAGCAAGAGCGTCTCCTTCAAGACATGTGCGCAAATAGTGAAGACGCTGGCCGTTTGACAATGTCGCGTTTTCGTGAATTACCGATTGAAACGTATCCCGGAATGACTCCCAATCTACGTAACTTCCATTGAATTTAGGCAAATTTATACGCGGGAGATGAACAGACGGTGCGGTTACTGAAAGCGGAGTCGTAGATCGCGGAGCGTGGCCACGAGAATCAAGAAGACTGTATACGGTGTTCAATACGGTGGAGTATTTCCCGTGAAATTGATCGCGTCAACCTTCCTTCAGATACGCGAGGGACGCCGCATGCTGGTCTTCCAGTACCTTGGCATGGTTGATTTTAAAGTCGCTCCAAGTTGCGTTGAGTTCCTCGATCTGAGAGTGCAGGTAGCTGGCGGCTGGATTTCTCGTCGTTTGGATGTTTCTAGTGCAGGTGTCCAGAAACGCAGCCAGATCGTCCTGCTTGGTGAGGAGTCGCTGCATCGTAGGTTTGATGGATGAGGACTGTTGCTGTTCCTCAGCCATGATGTAGATTGTTCACAACACTCAGTCACAATCGATCGTTAAGAGTCAATGTCCAAAGTTCACCACCTCGCGGATCCGGCTCGAAGGACCAATCAAAATGTCGGCAATGTTCGTATGATCGCGAACGCCAACGGAGAGAGCGAGGTGCCGGGTGCGAACTGATTTAACAAGGACAATAATTTATTTACAATCGAAATTGATAACAGAAGATCACAATCTGACATATGTTCTACAACGAGAACAGTACAATCCTCTTTACTTTAAGCAAGTATTGAGCAAGATCGGAATACGCGGTAGAGCGGTGAGAACGTGTAGCGATTCTCGCGGGAGATGTTCGTCAGTTGATGCGTGAGAGGAATCTGACTTTCTCGATGGAAAGATGCTACCAAGTAGCTTCAGGATGCTGTCCTCTAGGGCGGAGTTTTTGGAGAAGCAACGCTGATAGGCTTAAGGAAGTGGAGTTATACATTATAATTGAATGTGATTGGCGTTAGGACCTTTGGGAAGGGGAAAAAAGCGGATTTTGAGAGTTGTAGGTGGGGAAAGCCAAAATGGGCTACAGGACGAGGAGTTCTAGGAAAGGAACAATTCAAGGGCTAAAGGACCGCGGTGATAGAGAAGTACTCGATGGTACGAGTCGATGTTTTGGAGTTTAGGATTCAACTTATGAGCTCAAGAGGTAGATTTACGTGACAAGAAGAATGTGAAGAGAGTTACGGGATAACGCGAGACATGTGCGGAGTTGACAGAAAGCAGACGCGGACTCGGAAGAGAGGAACACCCAGATCGCTGGGAACGAGTACCCTGCCCCGGATGTTCGAGAGTCGCCTCTTACCCTTACCGGACGGTCAGGCGCCAGGGTGTTCGAAGGTTCGTCTGGACCGTTCTAGTGTCTCTGTGACTCGAGTTGGTTTTATCAATAGCTAATTGATTTTCACCTATTGATTTGAACAGTTTAGCTATATTTGGCAAAGTAATTGATTTGAGCTTTTCATGGGAAGGGAGCAATTTGACCTATTTTTGCACTTCATTGAATAAAGATAAATGTATTTAGCTAAATTTTTGTACACCGTAGATGTGTTTTGAGGTATTCGGAAAGGTACCAATGGCTCATCGACGCATATCTCTTCATCTAAATCGTAGTATTTAGAAAAATTTTGATTTAGTATATCAACAAGTCCTCTTATCTTAAACAGTCTATCATTTGTGATTGCTGTCTGATTATTGGTAAAATGAGGGAATCGTAACAGCAACTGAAACCGATTTCTCGACGTAACTTTTCTTGGAATGGATTGGCAGTATGTGTTATTGGTACACCAATATGCGCCATTTCGGTAACTTGGCCAAACCCATCCATATTAATAGCCCAAAAAATCGTTTGATTTCATTTTTGTCGGCTGGTGTCAATTTATCTAATCGAGTGGATACACGCCGGATACACGCCGATAGTCCTGCAGGGTAGTCCACTCAGTGCCTCGCGAATCTCCACGCTGTTTATGGAAGGGGCGTGCGCAGCAGAATCGGCAGACCATCCGTTTTCGGTTTGTTCGACCGTTGTTGCCTGCCGGGCGAATAGTTTTCGAATGAATCTCATACCCCTACCTCCGTTTTATTTAACAATAATAATAATAGCGTTGCAGTCCTTGTTGCTCACGAAGTAGCGCAGCCACCGTCGGCGTCTGGCTCGTCCACCCCTTCGTTACCTACCTCGGTTGGTTTGCGCTCGTAGTCCTGGAGGGCCGTATCCGCCGACATCGCGGCGGCGGTGGTGGTGGTGCAAACGACGCAGCTCGGGTGACAGATGGTCTGCTGTGGATCCGTCTGACGCACCAGCCACTCGCGTATCCGCTTCGCGTTGTTTAGCGAGCAAGAGAAATGTTTGTTCGCTTTGTGTACAATGTGTTATACTGATCGTCGGCTTGAGAGAGATTTTTGAACTCCGGGCACTCCTCCGACTCCTCCAAATTGATGATCTCCCGATTCATTATGTTGCGCAGGAGATTAGCCTTCTCGCGCCCACGCGCGAATGTTTTGGTTTGATGAGTGATGACCTGCAAATTTTCGTATAATTTTTTTGCCGAAACATCCCCGTCGAACCACTATGCCATTCGTCGCAAAGTAGTTCTGAAACATGCGGATCTCGCGTATTCCGCAACCGTTTCGCGGTTTGGTAACTCGTTCCACTCGCGTCAGCTTGCGCGTCCTTTCGCGCTGTAGAGCGCCCGTTGACGATCTTATTCGATTCCACGTTTCGTGCATTCGTCCTCTGCGCACCTGCCCGCGTTCAGCGTACGCGAGCACGGCCACTAGGAAACGCTGCAGACACCTTCCGTCGTAGTTGACGATCGTTAGAATGCTTCTCTTTTCCACTCCTTCGTGGGTGGACGATACCCGACCGCGTCTTCTTATTCCGCGTATGACGGCTGTGCAAATCGTGAACGATACGTCGACGTTAAATTCGACCGTGCTCTGCGCTATTTTACTTTTAGCGCCCAGACGTCGTTGTATACAAGTCGCTAACGGGACGAAACGAAATTCACGCAGGACCGTGAGCGAAGTAATCGCTGCTGAACGTCATCCCGATGAAATCGTCACGAGTACAGTTTTGAGTCGCGTATGTGTGAATGTTGCGAAACGCTCCCCGCAACCACTAGACGACGTTCATCTCTCGCGGTGGTTGATGCACCACCATGCTGAATTCAGTCCCACGCGTCGCGAAGCGCCTATAGTACCGCGCTGTCTCCCTTCGTATGGAGAACCGCCTACCCGGAGCTTGAACGTCCTTTTCCTCGTCGTCGTCAGCGTCGTCGTCGTTCCACCCCCGACTTGCGGGTTTGTGCCGGAACTTCCTGCAAGAAAAAAGTATATAAAATATCTACGTGCAGGTTTTTATAAATGTGGAAGAAAAAACACTAACTATTCCTCAGCCCCACGTACCGTCATAGGAAGCGAGGAGGCATCGAACGAATCGAAGCTGGATTCCACGCTCGGAAATCGTACGCGCAGAATGCCATCTGTTAAAATGGAACAAGAAAAAGAAACGCTATTACTATCTTTCATACCGGGCGGAGGAAGTGAAAGAAGATAAGTAATAGTGTTGACGCCAGGCCTCGTTGCCGCTAGGTAACGGCGGTTAGGCGCCCCCTCCGCGGCACGGCATCGTTTGTTTATTGTTTTTCACCCTCGTCGGTGATTGGTTGGCTACCCGGTCTCGATCCTCTTGCAGGGCTTTACGGGATAATCACGGTCTTGTGTTGGTCGCTCAGGGTCGTCATGGCTATCAGCCCGGGGCTGACACGCCGTCGGGCATTACCGGCGCCACAGCGTGATGCCCGCCTCACTTATGAGACACCTCCAACCGCGAACTGCGCACTCCGATCGGTCCATCCTGCGTCGACCCCGCCCAGCCAAAGGGACTTCCAGATCGACTCGTCACGGCCCAGCCGCCGGTCCCGGACACGGATACGCGACCTCATGGAGCGCAACCCCAAGTCGGGTGCGCCACACACCCGAGCCACCGACAGCGCCGATCTCGAGGCACAAAGGCCCCATGACAGGCCGGCCTCCCCTGAGCAGGCTTCGGAAGTCGACCGAGGAAGAAACCCGTGAGACCCACGGCCCGGTCCCACCAGTCCGCTGCGGCCCGCCGGCGTAGTCTTCTTCCAGAACCCTCGGTGCCCAAACGGCGGTCCCCCCGGCGGGCCCGCCCCGCACGATTACCTGAGCTTCCATCTTTTCTCGGTGTTTCCAGCGGGAGTTCGAGGACGGCCGCCTCTTCGATCTTCGTTTTTCTCGCTCTGAAGGTACGTGCACTGCACTCGCACTTCACACCTTTTCCGGCTGTCTGCTTTCTTCTTCGACAGCACGCACTTCACACTTTCTTCACATTTGCTCGTTCCGCACTGCCCGAACGATCACTTACTACTTCCCCACTCTTTGCCCCTTAAACTATCTAAGTCGACCAGCCATCTCCGTTCATTGCCATACATCCCATCCTGCCGGAAATCCCGGGTAATCCCTCAGACAAGTGAATGCTCTACCTGAGGTGTGGGTTCTCGCGGAATCCTCGGGTCTAGTGGCCCTCCAAGGAACCCAGCAATTATCGGGTAGTGTCCATCGCGTCGGCAACAGATAGAGAAAGATAAATAAGATCTGGATGGAGGAAATGAATAACAGATAATTGTGGACTTACCTTCACCCATTTCGATACGATTTCGCGGTGGCGGCGGCGACGGCGACGGCGACTCGCTGATCCCCTATGATTGAGCGTCTTGTTCTTCCTCGCTCATGGAAGCCGGCGTGCGGTTCGTACCCACCGAGTCAAGATAACCTTCGTCGCTCTCGTACGATTCGGTGGGTGTAATCAGGACGACGACGTCGTCGTCGTCGTCGTTGTCGTCGTCGTCCACGTTACCGGGAGCCAGTCGTATCACCCCTTCTCTCACGTCGGGAAGCCGAGGGAGAATCAGTGTATCGCACGAATCGTCGCAAATAAGGGGCTCGCTGCTATCATCCATTACCACCACGCTTGATTCACGATCACCGCCACTACCACTACCACTACTGCGGCTGTAATTAACGCACTCGTTCGATATCGTCTCGTCGTCGTCGTCGTCGTCGTCATCATCAACGCTGCGGCGAACGTCAAATCGCTCGTTCGATGAACCCCCCTCGTCGGGTTCACGCTTGACTGATACCATCGCATTTTCCTCGCCATCGGTGAAAACGTCACTATCGGGAGAGCTGATGCTCAGTTCGTACCCAAAATCCGCAGACTTACCTTAGTAAAACCGAAGGGAGGTATCTCCCCAGTCTCTTAACGTGGGGAAGCAATAGCAAAGTTTCCGATACAACAGAGAACCAGGATTTGAGAAATAGAACAGTCAAAAAATATCGAAACCCGAAAATACTATTAGGAAGGTACTAATTCATGTCATATTCTAAGAATAAAAATCTAAAGACAAACTCGCGATCAAATTTCCAAGATAAATATTTAGGAA